CGATCCCAATACGAAGTTCGCGAACATCAGGGATATCCATCGGGCTCAAATCGAAGCGGGTGAAAAGGAGGTTATCACGGCTGAATCCAGCGACTCTGAATGCCCTAGTGAGGCTGGCAGCTGTATTGTAGTGGGTGTGGTTGAGGATCAATAGTTAATAGTAATGAGGAGGTTGGGTTGTGATCCCATCGTTTTTGTGGTGCCAGAAACAGGGGGGTGCCAGGAAGTGGGTATGTTGACTTATTGGTTGGCAAAATTCCCAGTTCGGGCCAGTTCCCTATATTCACTGCGGTGCACCCGTACTGGTAGAAACCGTTCTTTAAATAAGACTTGGCCCTTAAATCTGACTCACATTTTAGTTCGCGTTTATTTTCAATTGGTTCTAGGCGGAATCCTTCGTCGATACACTTATCCAATGCCTATAGCCACACCATTCTGTAATCAGGATGGCCATAATGGCTCGTGCCAAAATTTCCAGGTGCAGCCTATTATCCGCGCCCAGAGTAGCCTATTCGAAAGGGCCTTCTGTCAGACCCTTAAGTATTTGATCCCTTCGATCCGTCGGTTCTTCGAAATATTCCCGAAAGGTGTCTCACAAATCTGCCACAAAAATTCCTGTCCTAGGTACTCGCCTTTGAACTTGCGACCATGCCCGGAGGCTTGTCTCCCGCGGGCTTCCGCCCACGGAGCTCAAGCCAAGTGAGGGTGTATTCCCACGAAGAAATCATCTTTCCAAAACTCTACGAAGAGGCGTGGGGCAGCGATGGGTTCGGCGATAATCGAACGGAGCTGGAACGAGCCAGAATCTTCCTCATGCGGTTTGCGAAGATGAATCCTGATCCATTTACGAGCCAAGAGCTGCAATCAATCGTCATGAACCACGAAAATCGGACGATACCGGCGCTAGCTCTTGCAGTGCAGATGAGGATCTTTGGAAATCGCCACGATAGCTTTGCGGCGACGCCTCTTCTGCAATGCATACGGTTTATGCTCTTGAAAGCCAGGGTCCCGGAGTTCATATTTTCGGACAAAACGAAGCTTATTATGGATTTTTACTTCGATCCAACGATGGCAAGAAGCATTGAGCCTCCACCACCAGATGGTATCGTCTACAAATATCCCTCCGGTCGTCTCAAGATTGCTATTGTAGGCGGTGGGCCAACAGCGCTAGCATCAGCAATATCTCTCGCCGAGAAGGGTGCTGGGAAAATTCAGGTTCACGTCTACGAAAGGCGGTGGGTCGTCAAAGATGGGCCGAGGGGACCTTATATCGACTACCCCTCGACAGCCAGGCGTCGTTATCAGGTTGTCACGCTACAAGAGTCGGTCACGACGTTGATGAGTAAAGCAACTCAGCAGGCATTGTTTGAAGGTCGTCCAGAACGAGTCTGGCCGGGCTCAGCCAATATTCAGATTCGCAAAGTCGAGGATCGTCTTCTCCGGAGATGTCACGCCGCCGAATTTCAGGATCTCATTCACCTCCACGCGGAAGGTGTGACGCATGAAGATATGGTGAAGATTGGCGACTTCCATGTTCTTCTGGGAGCCGACGGAGCTGCATCGTGGGTCCGCAAATCGTATTTCCACGGATATGAAAATGAACGTGGGCGAAGTTATGCCCTGGGCCTCGCATTTGATCGGCCGGCCGGTCTGCCATGGTCGCAACCCCTGAACGTCTTCTTGACTCTGGGTCAGACTCGGTATCTCCTGAACGCTAGTGACTACGATGGACGTGGATACCTCAACATGCAACTCACAGAGGCAGAGTGGCACAAGATGCTCGCCAAGGATGGCCAGCCAGTCACCTTTGGATATCCTGGCTGCCTCCGAAACCCCGATGGGACTATACCGAAAGGCTTCACAGAGAACCAGGTCTTTGCACCTTCAGAAGACAGAGAGAGTTCATTATGGAGGTCAATTTCTGACGGCCTCAAGCTCTTCGGCTTCAAAGAAAGCGAGGTCATCAATGTCGTCCGGATTCCAATTGTTGTCCAGGCTGTACGAGAAGGCATCCAGTATCTGCCGCCTTGTGACTCAGGGGCGATCAATCGGCCACATGCCCTCGTTGCAGTGGCAGGAGATGCTGCTATGACAGTTCACTTTTGGCCAGGCCGCGGCCTCAATAGTGGTGTTAAGTCAGGCATCGCTCTAGGAGACGAAATTGTCCATGCGCTCAATGGGGGCAAATTCGTTGGGTTGCCTCTTACCGCTATGAATCAGTACAATGACTTCATCATGAAGTTGCAGGACCGCGAGCATGACAAGCGCAGTATCCCGATACTTAATCAGTCCGGTACACCAGAGACCTTGGGCTGGCTACTCAGCAAGGCAAATACGGTCCCGGACAACGTTGCAATCGAATGGCTTGTGGGTGCAATGGCTCAGATTGCGGAACGACTTGAACAGAGAGGCGACTGGGCCTTTGGCCCCGTGGCTAACGTCGAGCCTCAACTTCGGATAGTACTACGACAGATGGACTCTGCAACGCTTAGGGAGATGGCAGTCAGCTTCCCGTGGCCAACACGAGAAATGGGCGGTGCCGAGGTTCTCCCTCTCCGGTCTATGAAGCCAGAAGAGAAGCAAAGATGGCTTCAGGGTATCTGGGGGCTATTGCGAGACGAGGTCGGCCGAGACTCGCAAAAGCGTCCTCCCTCCCGTGGAGATCGAGGACGGCCACAGTCTACATCACGATTTGAGGCCCCGCGTGGTGCTGCCCTGCATCCGCCTAGAGCCGTTTCGCCGTCGACACAGTTCCTATCGCCAACGCCTGATAACGCTGCACCAAGCCGCTCAGAGTCGACATTACGGAGAAGCAACGCCAATCGAGGAGGCATGTCACCAGGCCCCTCGGAGCGGACACTAGCTGTGCCCAATGAGCTAGATGGTACGTCATTTTCACGGCCACGCTCACCATCTATGGGTGGTGAAATACCGTTGGGAAGATTGCTTAGCGTGAGTCAGCGTCCGGGCCGCGCCGTTTTGGCCGATGCTATGTCGTTGGCACTATTTCGCGTCGACGGGGATTGATAGCTGAAGGGGAGATAATGCACCCGTATGCGTGCTGTTGAATAGCCATGATCGTCGGAATCATATCGCAGGCATGTAGAGGCGACCTAATTTGAACTTTTGCTATGCTCTTGTGCCTGAACTTCTAAAGAGTACATTCGCGAGAATTGGTTACATTGCGATTTTCTCACTGAAATCAACTAGATTTGAAACTGTCTATCCTTAAGTGAAATCTAAAAAGAAATCAGATAGATTTCTCTATCAATGTCGATGTCCAAGTAGTATTCCTACTCCGTCATGACTGGATGACTTGCAAGCAAGATGGCGCCTTAGCTGGCTCGGCCTCGCGACTTTGATTCCTCGGACGACTTTGAAGGAATCTCCATAAATCATGTCAGAAAATACGAGTGTCCAATGCTTTTAGTATTACGAACGATCGGTGAGATCTGGATGTCCAAGAAGCGGTATGTCCGCATAATTCCGAAAATCCGTATGTCCTCTGGCCGAACCCTTGGGTATTGGGCTCCACCATGACTCAAAACCCACTTCTTGCCCGCTCTGCTATAACTAGAGAAACAGAGGGACACGAGCATGTGATGAGAAACTTGTGACTCTATGTTAACTTGAACTGGGGATAGAAGATCGTTATGAACTACGCTGTTTTGACACGGCTGGCAATCACATGCTTCTCTCCTAGACCTTCGGTAGAGGGCAGTCCAAATTTGAATCACTTCAGGAGGCCTTGGAGGCGCAGAAAACGTAGTTACGTGCAAATAAGCCGCCCAACGAGTTACCAGGTTAGTGTGCCCCTGTCCCGGTATTGTGAAGGTTAAGTCTGGAGTGACCCGTTCGCAAAGGCCCCGACCCGGGGTCCGGAGTGGAGCCCACAAACTGCCGAAGCGGGTCCGGTTCCATTAGTCACTGGCTAAATCCCGTCGTCAACCCGTCGGTTGAACATTCAGTTTAATTATCCGGACGAAAACGAGAAGCTTAAAAATAAGGAGTCTTTGTGTCACCACTGACAGCTGTGGGGGTCATCTAAGATACATTCATTCTAGCCTAAGCCAAGCAGCCGTCAAGGAAGGGGCTTTCACGATGACAACTTCCGACCTCTCCGAAACACGACGCTAGAAATTGAGATATATCCACAATTCCCAGTCGAAGTAGCGTCCGCTGGGAAAGCATGGGCGCGCGATCCACGCATAAGTGGTTCCCCTCTAGTCTCCAGATTTCAGACTCCATGACGGCATTGTCAGCTATTCTTCAGCACGTCACGCGAGCCAAAGTCGGCCGTCATTAGGTTGAGTGGAGGGGCGCACGGCATTACGGAAGTCCATGATCGTGGGCCGAACCTACGAGAAGACTAATCCGAAAGTCCCATAGTTTCGCGGCTTCCCGTTCCTTTAAAGCAAAAAGTCCACAATGGATTCCACCTCTCAGAATGCCAAGTCGGACTTTTCCCTGGTTTTGGCTTTTCTTGCTCAACTCTTCAATTGCGATGATGGTGGGCATGAGATAGCGAGATAAACGCGACATGACTTGTACTTACTTTAAAACCCGCGTCTGCGCTGTCGTGGAGGAGTTCCTAGAGGTGGCCGAACAGGCTCAAGCTCGCTCGACTGGTTAACACCTTGAGAAATGCCTTCCATCAGCCTAGCAGCGGCCGTCGCCGCGTTCGTCGCCCTCGCGGATGCGTCTTCAGTACTTCTTCGTGGTGGTACGATTATTGGCTTCGACGAGTCAAGCAATCCACTGAACGTCATCCGCAACGGCTCTCTTCTCATCACGGACGACCGCATCACTTCCATCTACACTTCAGATCAGCCCTTGCCGCAATCATCCAACGACACGGAAGTCATCGATGCCACGAACAAGATCATCACACCGGGCTTCGTTGACACCCACCGCCACGGTTGGCAAACAGCTTTCAGGACCATCGCCTCGAATACTTCGCTCGCGGAGTACTTCACGCGCTACGGCGAGTACGCTGCCGCTGGCCTCTTGAGTGCCGACGATGTCTATATTGGCCAGCTCGCGGGTCTCTACGAGGCCCTCAATGCCGGTGTCACGACGACGCTTGATCACGCCCATCACACTTGGTCTGATGAGACTTCGGAGGCAGGGTTGAAGGGCAGCATTGACAGCGGCGCGAGAGTCTTCTGGTCGTACGCCTTTCACAACGTCACTAACTTTACCATCTCGGAGCAGCTGGAAAACTTTAGAAGCATAGCGACCAAAGCCGAGTTTGACGGTACTCCTACCACCTTGGGAGTGGCGTGCGACTTTTTTGGGACCGACGGTGTTCTCGCGGATATTACTGCAGTTGTCGATCTTGCTAAGTACGTCGTTTAACGCAAGTTGACAGTGAAAGTCATTCTAACAGGCGGCAGAGAGTTCAACGTCTCAGTGATTACAACGCATAGTCTGCAGGGCCCTTGGGGAAGTAAGTTTTTGGCCCTAACCACGTAATAGTACAGCTCTCATATTGACCACTTAATAGACACCAACAGTCCAGAGGATGTCCATGCTATCGGAGCACTCAATACCAGTATTCCGGTCGTCTTTTCACACGCGTCATTCCTCACCTACAAGGGCGCATCACTCCTCCGCTCCACCAACCAGTATATCTCAATCACGCCAGAATCGGAGATGCATTACGGGCACACACATCCTCACAGCCATCTGATCCAAGATCAAGGCTCCCTCGGTGTCGACACTCACTTCACTTTCTCAACCGATATCCTTACGCAAGCCCGCCTATGGCTTCAGAGCACTCGCCGCCTACTCTATCAACAAGTCCTCGCAAACTGGCGCGTACCTACCAGCACGCCGATGACTGTCAATCAAGCCTTCCTCCTCGCTACAAGGAACGGCGGACTTGCTCTTCGCCGCCCGGATCTGGGCGTCATAACCGAAGGCGCCAAAGCCGACGTGGTTGTCTGGAATGGCGAGAGTCCCGCCCTCCTCGGCTGGGTTGACCCTGTCGCTGCTGTAATTCTCCACGCTAGCGTCGCCGATGTCGAGCACGTCCTGGTGGACGGCAAATTTGTCAAGAAAGACTATAAGCTAGTGGTGCCTGACTATGAGGACGTCAAGACGCGGTTCCTGGACAGCGCAAGGCAGATCCAGCAGACTTGGAGGGATATCCCATTCTCAGCTCTCGAGGGAGAGTTTAGCAGCTCGGAAGCTCCCTATGAAGCTCCTCTATCGGTCGATGTCCTGCCCGGAGGTGAAAGTGGATACGGTACCACGTTTGTTTGAATACCGGTGCCGCGGTAGCAGGCTGAAAGCACATATGCCAAGCCTGTGCTTCAAAGGTTTAAGGGCGTACCTTAATAAAGCCAATGATATTAATGTAGTATTTGCGAGTTACGAAAAAACGCTTAATGAAGCTTGAGTGTATTTGATGATAATAGACAAGATGAATTAACCCTTTGCCATACCGTTCAACTCACCTCCTGAAGTTCCAAACTTACATGTACAATACATAGTTTACTTAAATTTTGCTAGGTTTGAAATATTTGATGTTGCATCGGAATCTATCATGAACGTTCAAGCTATTTAGTCCACTTTTGAGGATCTAGAGTTGTCGGTTCCTTGGTGCCGAGATGATGCGCCGGCGGGATACTGGGCGGTTCAGATGGCGCGAGACACCTTGCCAGTCTCCACTTACATCTCCTCATCTCCGCCCGCCGCCTGTCGCGTTATCTTTTCCGGGATCATCCTATCTGCTTGCCAAGTCGAGGGGAAGCTGGAGGCTAAGACAACTTCAACCCACAAGATACTCCATCATCAACGTTACCCAACCCATCAATAGTGTTGAACTCTCTGTCTTCCTGAAATTCATCCCAGTCTTCGGGTGGCGCAATTGCCAAAGGTTTAGCTCCTTGCGATCATAATCATTAGTGTCTCTCAAATGGTCCAACGACTTCATCGAGAAGCCGGGTTGCAGGCCTTCCTTAGCGCAATAGAAGAGGATGGGTGCGCTATCATCAAAGACTTCACGAACCAGGCTTCACTTGATGCTGCGCATGAGGAAGTGCAGCCGTATCTCGATGCGTCGCTTGCGCAAGCTGGAAGTACCGTTGGTGCTCTGAACGGTGGGACTGCGACTTGTACGAGGCTCGTTGGTCGAAGCAAAACTGTTCGCGAGAAGTTTTTCTCAGACTCGTTATACCAGGTGCGCTTACAACATCTTTATCGTACTCGTGAATCCATTATTGACTAAGACCGGCTTCCACAGGACATTGCCGATCACTTCATTGGGCTTAAGACCGAACTTTGGTACGGAGATGAACCCACCATCCACAAATCCGACCCTTTGCTCTCGATCTCCATCACAATGTCCTCTCAGCCGGGAGCAAAAGCACAGAAACTGCATCGCGACGACAAAAACCATCATGCGAGGCACATCAAGGCTAGTCACTACACAAAGGGACGCGATATGCTTCTTGGCCTATTCGTTCCGGAATGCGATACGTTTGAAGCAAACGGTGCCACCCGGATCGTTCCCGGGTCACATCTGTGGGGCGATGAAAAGCCTGACTTTGGAGAAGATGGCCAAAAAGGTGTTGAAAACGCGGAGTTGAAGAGAGGCGAGGCGTTTGTGATGTTGGGCAGTTTGTACCATGGCGCTGGACAGTATTCCCTTGAGAAGGGGTGTCGAACAGTGCACATCATGTTCATGTGCAGCGGCGTTCACCGTCAAGAGGTAAGAGACTGTAGGCTTCAACCTTTACTACAAAGTGCGATTACTCACGGAAATGCAGGAGATTCCATATCTAAGCTACCCGATCGAAGATGTCAAGACATACTCGAAACTTGTGCGTGACCGTCTTGGCTGGAAGCAGTCGGAACCCAACTTGGGATGGGTTGATTTGAAGTCTCCGGAGTACCTCCTAGAATAAAGCTACAATAATGAGATAGTTAATACGATATTCTAAGTCACGGGTTCACCAACCTGTATGGTCCCGGAGTGACTGCGATAACCCTAAGGGTCCAGGCTCATTTTCAGTGACACATCAAGGTAGCTAGCCGCAAGCACGAGGTTTCAGTTCCCGCGAGAAACGTCGAGAGGCAAATATTCCATGGCCTATTATGCAGTCAAAGTCTGTTATGACAGCAAGCAAGACGTCTAACGTGAGCCGCCCTGCGAACCCTTTTTACCATGTCTACAGAGGTTTTATGGAAGACTATAAAATGGGACGGTGATCGCCTTTGAGTCATGAAAACTTTTCCTCCTTCTTGCGTTTCCAATTTTCAAGCTATCCTCAGCTCGAAAGCCTATTCTTTGCCCACACTTCCAGCATGAAGATCCATTCACTCCTCTCCGCTGCTCTTCTCAGCGGCGTAATGGCCGCCCCAGCACCTACAGAAGACCAAATCGCAAAGATACCAGCGCGCATCTCTAGACAGACACTCTACAATATTCGAAAGGCCTGTCCGACATGCACCGTCACAGCCACCCATGTTCTCCGCAGCAACTCAGATCCGAACTGTCCTGAGATCAACGACTGTTGCAGCGCCAAGGCTCCGATAAGCTGTTACGAAGACGGCAAGTTCAACCTCGCACAGAAATCTACATCAAAACGGGATCTCGAGCCGATGAGCAAAATTCAGAAGCGGCAGTGTCACCCCTGTTGCACCGATGGCGATGCTTGGCCACCGGAAAAGCGCGGACGCTGGTGGGGATGCAAGAACGTCCCGGGATTGGATTGCAGAAAGTGCATGAGCCCACCGGAATGGGAGTGGATTATTCCTGGGGGTGTTAATGAGAAAGAAAGGGAAGATACTGGAGACCTACCTTGAGTCCTTGAGCATTCTCGAACTCTATCACGTCGACAAAGGCATGATGCGTCACAGCCTCGAACGCGAGACACGACCGCACTTACACTGGAAGATCAGGGGGATGAGTTCAGCACGATTTACTTGGATAAACATTATGTGTTTCGAGGCTTGGAAAGACATATTGGTAGAGAGCGCTTAGTACGCACATGGTCAAAGTCAGTAAAACTTAGTCAACTTTCTGAAGTCCTTCCCAAATTCACAAGTCAAGGTTCAAAGCAAAACATTCGGCTCGATAACAGGCGTCGAGTATATTTCAGCCCTTATGCCTTCATTGTCCAAGCAGGCTTTTTTACTCCAAATAGCTATCTTCCCTTGAATTCTGTTGTTGAATCTGTCCGAGAAAATTTCTTTTAGCGACTCCACACCCTCTTGATGGTTGAGTGACATCTGGGCCATGAGCACCTTTGCCACAATTCAATATTTTCAGTAGTGATTAGACTTCTGCTTATTGGTCATCGTTTCAAATGAAACAGTTATGACAGTTACTCAGCATTTCTCGATGGAAAAAGTCACAGAAGTGTCCATCGAGGCCGTAGATTCGGACAATTGGGTGATCGGGAATTGACTCACTGGTTCGGCTTTTAGACGCCACACTTTCCAAAAACAGTGGGTCCGATAGCGGCGCCACAGTTTCCGGCCCCAGTCAAACTCATCGACTTCCTCAAGTTCACTACACATATCTCAGTAGCTCATCTCGTCGTATTGCGGAATACCCGAACGTCAATTAACTCAATTGAAACCAGACAACATCAAACATGGCACCTGCTTTGGAGTCCAGCAAGATCGCCTTCATCGGTACGTCCCATGCAACACCAAACGACCACCCACGATGGCGGGGCTGACGCGGGGTATTGACAGGCGGCGGCAACATGGCCGCAGCGATCATCGGAGGCCTGGTCGCAAAGGGCATCGACAAGCAAAACGTCACCGTCTCGGAGCCCTGGGATGTAAACCGTGAAAAGACGGCCGCTCTCGGCGTCAAGACCACCACATCCAACGCTGAGGCCTTTGTCGGCGCCGACATTGCCATCCTGGCCGTGAAGCCCCAGGTTGCAAAGGGCGTCTGCAACGAGCTCGGCAAGGCCGTCTCGGGCCAGGAGAAGGTGCCTGTAGTCGTCTCAATCGCCGCTGGTATCACCCTCGAGGCCCTGCAGAAGTGGCTGGCGCTCGACGACGGCCGGTCCCCGCACGTCGTGCGTGTCATGCCCAACACCCCTGCTCTGGTGGGCGAGGGCGCATCTGGTCTGTTCGCGGGCAGCGACGTGACCGAAGGCGAGAAGAAGTTGACCGAGTCCCTCATGGCGAGCGTCAGTAAGGCGACGGAGTGGGTTGACAAGGAGGAGCTAATTGACGTTGTCACAGGCTTATCAGGTGAGTCATGCCCGGACAAAGTGCATCAGTCGTCAGCGAAAGAGGACAAATCTAACAAAAGCCCATAGGATCTGGCCCTGCATACTTCTTTGCCATGGTCGAGCATCTCATTTCCAGCGCCGTTGGCCTTGGCCTCTCCCCCGAGCAGGCGAAGCGCTTGGCCACCCAGACCTGTCTCGGTGCCGGCAAGATGCTCGTCGAGTCCCCCGAGGAGCCCAGTCAGCTTCGCAAGAATGTCACCAGCCCCAACGGTACCACACATGCTGCTCTACAGAGCTTCGAGGCATCCGGCTTCCAGGAGATTGTCAACAAGGCTGTCAAGGCTGCAGCGGATCGCGGTGAGGAGCTCGGAAAGACTCTGGGCAACCAATAAGGCAGTTGGTCCGCAAGAAAAACTGCACTTTTTCCAGATCTTTGGGACGCTATATTAAGGGCAACAAAAATTACGATAGGTACGGGTGTAGACCTCAAAATGGGAGGGTTGGGTCTGGCAGGGTAGATACATGAATAGATGTCAAGATGACGACCAAAGCTCGCTTAACACCCAATCCAACGAATCCGATGATTCATGGATTCTGCAAGTGAGTTATTTGGTTGTGCCATTGCCCAATTGCCACGTTTCTCTTCCTCGCACTTTAGCCTGATGTTCACCGTAAGGACTCGACAGGTCTAGTCGCGGGGGGGGGGGAGCAACATCAGTCCTATTCTTCACTCAGCGTGCCAGCTCCTTTGAAGATGAATCACAATCGGCTACAACACCCAAAGACCCAGAGATCCCTAGTCGGAACATCCAAATTTCAAATGGTGGCACTGCAACTGGGCAGCTTATCTGCCCTACCCAAAGGTGCCAACAGATCTCAGAGCCTTCAGCTCAGTTGTCATATCGCGAACCACCTGGCCATATCTCCTAAATCCCTATACGGCATAGATAATCCATCCCCGTGTGGTCTAGCTCGTGTCACATTCCAACCCCAAGACCGTCCAAATTGAAGACAATTGGTCAGGGTGTAGCTTAGTTGCATTTCGTATCCCAAAATTGACTTTGCTGTCTCAGTCGCCTGATACATTAACGTGCCCCTTAGCTGTCAAGGCTGTCTAGGGTGTGACAGAAAAAGCCGTTTGTCGTGCCCTTACATTTTCGTGGCGACATGGAGCCACCACCGCCAAATCCCGTGACCATCTCGTAAGGAGTCCATATGGGTTTTGATGTCTCTTATTTCAAGACTTTGCTCTCAAGAGCCATTTTCTCGTTTGTAAGGTTGAATACTCTTTCTCTCCCAAAGATTCCAAGAACTCAGACTAGGTCAATATTGCACCGTCCTGTGTACATGCAGAATCAATGTGTCGATCGCTCGCAGCGTAAAGTTAACGTGGTTGCGAAAGTTGCGATGTTACCGTTGCTAAGCAAGCTAGCTAATGAAATGCTTATGATGCTAAGGACTGCACCATCCTCGTTGAATCGCATGGTTTCGATCCCTCTTTCTACGGGCGCAGCTCAATCGATACCGAGACTCAGGTACGGGTCTTGAGATCTTAACGTTTTGCCGTATCTACCTACTTTATGGTGGCTTTGCGCTAGAGACGTCCGCATTCCCACCGTCCGCCTCACGATCTGTCGCAGTGAAAAACCAGATACAAGGCGGTTGCGGCACGAAAAGTTCATAAAGCAATAAGGACTACACATACTGAATTGCCAACGGTATCTCTTATGGAGGTTTTCTTCCGGTTGCTAATCAGCTTCATCTATGCAGGTGGCCGTCTATCAGGGGGGGGGGGGGTTACAATTTGCCCGTCGGTTGGCCGGCAGTCAAGGATGATGAGCGGGATCATCCGTTCATGTAGCGATTCGACAGGCTTTCACGGTGCCAAGACTTTTTCAAGAATCTTCGTCCCAGCAAAAGTATACTTGGCTCACTGGGTAATCAACATGTTGCACTTTAATTCAGTTCTTCAACACTTGTGGCGCGGAGTGGGTTTTTGGCGGCCACGTTCACGATTCATCCATACTAGCGGAGGATTGTTGAGGGTATGAACGCGCGGCATTGGATCTCTTAAGGTATGCATACAAGGTTGCCGATATTATTCGACAGCCTCACACGCCTCTCATTGCAACTCAAGACTGGAAGAACGGTTTGCCGTGGCAGTGGCTTTTTTACATCTCTCGGCCGATACATAAGATGCGATGTGGGTTACATGAATGTGGACCTCCTCTCCCACCGGCGCCTGAGACACGTTTAGAACGCAGGGTGCTGATCCACAGGGCGGGATGGGATGGCAGAGTTACAATTTCGGGACAAGATCATCGCCTTTTTACAGGATGGGAGAACTTGGCAAGGCATCGGCGTTGGGCCTGGATCGGGGCCGCAGTCTTGGGGTACCTAGTGGTGTTCGGAGGTCAGTCAAGACTCTGAGACGGCCCCTTTGGCTTAGTGTAAGTTCTCAAAACTTTCGGATCCTTTCTGTAAGTTCCTCTATGTGTAGGCTCAACAACTCATTGGAAGGGAACAGAACTGCGAGTGTCCCTTGTCCAGTCACAAACGGGAGGCTGGCTAGGGCGAGGGAAATGGGGTTGCTCCACCTGAAGGAATCGCCTTTGACAAAAGCAGAGTCGCTTGCGACATTCTGCAGCAAGCAGGGGTTCTCTGCCTTAGTGTCTCTATTCTTGGGTCGCCTCTTTCACAAATTCAAACTTTATGCCGAACTTCGCCATCACTCTGCGCTTATGGTGACGAAGACATGGTCATGATGGACTTCTTACGCTTAGAGAAGTTGTCAAATTTGAGGATATGAGGAGAATGTGTTGCTTAAAAAACAAGAACTACTGTAGTAGGGTTCCGAAGGAGTACCCTCTATGTATCCTCCGCCGTGTGATTGCCCCAGAAACTCCATGTCCCTGATGTTACACCGCTTTGTGTAAGTATGTCCAAAATGCAAAATTCGTAGTCTCGTAGCCCTAGCACAATTGCTTGCGCCAAAATTCAACCACCTCGTTCAACTCAGGCCGGTTGTTAGGGTCCCTCTCAACACACCGCATGACCATGTCTTGCCACTCCTTCGGGACGTCCATCGCCATTGCCGTCCATACCGTAGGGTCGGGGGATTGCTCAACCTGCTCGAGCAGCATCCACATCGTCCTGCCCAGACTGAACACCTCCGCCAGCTCTGCGGCCCGGGGGCACGTCGTCTTCCACTCCGGAAATCCCCACTTCTGATTTCTCCGCGGCGCGCCGGTGTGGGGGGTATAAATGACCACCGGCCTACCGTTTGCGCCGGTGGAAACGGACGACTCTTCGGCCTCTTGGTCGATGGTTACCTCGGGTGGATGCGTAAACATGGAGAACCCGCTCTGCTCCCAGTCGATGAGTCGGAGGTCGTTGTAGTCGTCGACGAGGATGTTGCCGGGTTTCAGGTCCATGTGGAAGCTCTCGGCGACCTGGTGGGTATGCTGGATCGCGAGGGCCATCTGGTAGCACCACTTGGCCTTGAGACCTAGTGGGAGACGGTGTCCGGCTCTATTGGCGCGCATGACCTGCTCGTCCACCGAGTCTTTGCTCATGACCGGTTGAAGAAAGCCGCAGATGCGGTACTTCTCGTCCCCGTCCTGCACGACGACGAGGACCTTGGGGCAGGGCATGATGTTCGGGTGGGGCGGTAGGGTGCACAAGGTGCGGATCTCGTGGAGAAGGGTCTTTTCTTGGTGTTCCTTATAGTCTTTGCTGTCTCGCTTGTACTGGTCAAAGTCCATCCCCTTGAAGACGAAGGTGCCCTGTGGGGTAAGGCCGGAGGCTTTCTTCGTGACGATCCTTGCTCCCGTCTTGCCGGGGAGGGACCCGAGAATTTCGAGGTCGGCGAAATCCACAAGCTGGAAGTCTGTCGGGCGAGCGGTTTTGCCGAGGCTTGCAATGAACTTGTCGAAAGGTGTGAGTTGGCTGATGTAGTGTTCCCTGATGGGAGAGATCTCGCTTGCGACGGCCATTGTAAGTAATATTAGATACAGTCTATCGAAAAGGTTGAGATTCCTACTCCTAGAAGAGTTCGGCCTGTGAAGTCGAAAAAAAAGTCGTTTTTTTTATTTTCCAAAATAGGTTCTCTAATAAGAACGGTGAATGAGTATTGTGATTCACCAAAGAGACGAAGCTGAATAGAACGGTCGAGTTGGGACGGAGGACTGCATGTAAACTGGAAGACTTGAGGGTTAATACCTTTGACCCATCATCAACTCTGATTGGGTGTCAACTCGAGCCTGCCACGGTTGTGAGTCCCATCTCAACTGATGGTAGCATTTGCAAGGCTCTCTTTTCTTCTTCCGCTGATTGACAAAGTCCCTGTCGAGAATGGTCAAGGGAGCGAGGCAACTTCGGTGAATGAGGGAAAGGGTCCCGGTAGATGCGATTGGGGGTATCAATTGCATTTGAAAGTCGTTACGGGAGCGCACGGTGAATGTGCTCCGGGACCATTCCAGACCCCTTTTTCCAACTCCTTGTGTGAGACTTGAGAAAGAGAAAGGAATTTTTGAGATATTCTGAAGAAAAGCGATATCACTGCCACTATTCTTTCTGTCACCCCGGCTAACCCAAAGCCCTAGGGTCTAGCTTGGGACATTACCTACATGTATGATGCTTCGTCAACGATGTCTTACCTCGCTCTCGCCCATCCTGGTCATCTGACCGGGCAAGAAGTGAGGCGGGCGTGAGATGATATCACGAACGCCATCATCCACGAGAAAGAGTCGACCGAATCCATGCGCGGGCAGGATGCATGCCACTAGGCGGGTGGTGATTGGTGGCATCCCGCAAAGTGGCAGGGTGCGTGCTTCTTCATCCCTCACATTCGATATCTGACAGGTAAGAAAATCCTCCGACCGGGAAGGGTACGGCCCTAGCGGGCTGGCGGGAGATCAGATATCACGAAATACCTCGTGTGCCTGTTGGCAGAAAAGAAGACAGACAAGGGGAGAGAAGGAAAAGAAGGGTGTGGCCATCCTTACCCAGGATCCCCCGGCACGCCAGAGCGGCCAGACACCCGCTGTCGAAAATGGGTAAAGGCGTAGGCAATACCATGCAGGCGGCAGATCGGAAGCGCTTTGGATGGTTCCCGGAGGGGCTTAGCCATGCGTGCCATGCTGTTTAAGTCACATCCATCGATGCGTGACGTAAGACACTGGCATGAGACAATAGGGACGCTACAGGTAGGGGGCGCGCGCGCTGTGAGTGAGCCTGTACTCCGTACCAAGTAGGTCTTGCAAACTGAGGAGTTCAGGTGAACGAGGTGAGTCGACTGGCGATCTTGCCGGATGGAGGCCGAGGGCTGAACGTCATTGGGGGGTTGAGGGTCGGACATGGGTTCAGATTTATTGATATGTGCCGCGGGAGCGCTTCGACCGGGGTGAAAACCCATTTTGCCAGTTGGTTTGTAGGTATGTATGTACATAGACGAACATGCGGGTTTGTGTTTGCTCGGACGGTGTCTCCGGGCTGGCTGAACACACAACGTTGAGGAGGCGTCCCCCCAATGCCTGTCTTAGCTTACCGGCGGTGGTATGATGAGGCGTATTTCGAGCATGTCATTGAGACAATCGCAGGTGAGATGGGGGATGTGATATGATATGATGGATCATGGGGGGAGGCCGGGGTTGGACTTTGGAGGGGAGGGAAAGTGTGAGATGAGAATGGTCCATGTCGGCTCCCAGCCCGTTCCCACAGAAAAAAGGAGGTTATCGGGGCGATCGCCGATGTCCAATCGCTGTGGGGTGTCCTGCCGGATAACTCCATAGATTGACCCCGAACCAACTTGAACCCTCGCCGATCGTCCCATCAAATGTTTGTGAGGTGACAGTCTAGCGGGAGCACCCTCCCTCCAGGCTCGACCGGGGAGAACACCCCTTGCCTTCCGTGAAGTGGAGGATGGCGCTTACGCTTTGGCAGTTGATGATGTCTCACAGAGATCCGGCCAGCTGCCAGCCAAACCACATGGGTTACACTGCGCCCTTCCACTGGTAAAGTGACTGCCGAGATCGGGCCGTATGTCTTTCTCGGAAGGTCGCGGTCGAGATGAAGACGGTTGGGCTAGCCATCTACTGCCCTATTGTAAGTGGTCGAGTATAGTAGTATCCCATTCTGGCCCCCCTTTCAAACCACCTTTCAAACTTCAAAGTCACCCTGAACCCCAGACCGTGAGCGAAGAATTTCTTCTTTTTCCCCTATGCCGCCCCGGTAATTCTGTCTGATTTCTGTTCCGAGTCGCACAAAAGAAATCGCCAGAGACAATACAGCTCGGAGAGAATGCACTAGTGCGATACTCGAACATTGTTCCGAAGTCACAGGGTCAAAGCGAAAGCGGGCGCCAAAATCAGACCTGGTCACTAATTTGACAACCAGCGGGGCTTATTCCCGGCTCACTCAAATACTCAACCAGGCCATTTCGGCCTCTAATGTGTTGGTACTTTGGGGACTGGAAATCATATTCGCCTGTTTACAAAGGCTCCAAAGTGTCTTTCAACCTGGCTGTTCTCCCGGTCAAGAAGGATGCATAATCCCTGAAGAGTCAATGCCGCAATGCGTCTTGGCAAGACACAGCTCGTCCCAGTATCACCACAGAGCAAATCAGAATTGATATTGCCTCCAAGTCAAAGGGATCTGTGTGGAATGATATGGCGGCTGGACTACACAGAAAGGGGCAATCATCTCGCCTCAACCTTTCTATAGACTCTCTTCACTGGTTCCGGTATTTGTCCGCCAGCCCTCTGGTTCCAAAGTTAGAAAATCCGACGGACGTATTGGAACCCCGTTACACTGAAGCTTTCGTGATTGGAGAGGTATCAAAGGGGTCTTGTTATCATGGCAGAGGCCCGAGAACTCGATTGAAGATCATCATAAAGCAATTACCTGATGCGGATGGGCAAGTACCACTTTGTTGGGGACCCCTGAGAAGGCTCTGGCAGGCATGCACCGATGCTGACCAACTGCACTGTCATAGTCCCAGAGATCTGTCGGCGCCGAGCTTCCAGTCTTCAATGCGTGTGGCTGTCCCTGATGCTCGGTCCTTCGCATCAATAGAGACTAAGTAATGTGGACAGCAAGCACCTCACGACTCGACTTGGCAAAGCGTGCCAAAGTATCAAGAATCGTACGGGAGGGATAGCTCCCTCGTATTCCTAGGGCTAGGTAGCACGTCAATCTTACCTTAATCTGAACTTTTGGGGCAGAGTCTCAGAAACTTGGAAAGCTCGGATGTGACGGGCTGGCCCGCGTTTGCGGTTGACAGCGGGAACCAAAAGCAGCACTCCCTTCTTAACTGGGCTGGAAGGCGATCTGAGATTTTCCGCACGAAATACGTGACTAGGTTACATGACTGGCTTCAAGCTTCGCTACATTTGGGTAGCATTGTAGTATTCACGGATAGAGTTCAGAGTCCGTAAACTACCAAGCCAATTGCTCGTATAGTACTGGAGCAATTTCTATCACTTTCATGCAACCAAATTACGAGTGCTCAAGCCTCAATAACGATTTCATCTCAGGCAAGTCAGTAAGCTTCTTCAATGAATGTGACCATCAATGGGGCGATTGGTACTTGTTCCATTCTTGATGTAGAAATCTGGAACAAGACCATCTATTAAACGACCATATAAAGTTGATAGTAAAACCAAACGACCAATACATGTTCTTGCCCCACAGATTTCCATTGTCGACGCTCTGGCTGACATTCATCGGGCACTCGTCAAACGATAAAACCAAGTACTTGACTCAGATTAATTGCCTAGAGTTGAGTATTTGCGATTGTGACTGCCGGCCACGTTAGGCACAAAAAGTCTACCTAGACGTCACGTCAGGTAGTTGCTGGCTTCACATCATGGATACCAGATAGTAACATAGAAGTTGAGTTATCGGAAGGTGGGTAGCAATCCGCTTGTTTCGAAAATGCTAGAAAAGCAACCTCGCGGAAGAGGCTTATGAGTGATGGGATGAATTGCCTGCATACATCTCACTTGAATAGAAGGAGTACATGAATGAGTGTTATCATTACCAACAGCACGTTCGGGTCTCGAGCTCTATCAATCAATCCGAAGATGCCGTTGAGTCAGAAGCCAGTCCTGGAGTGTCGCTCGCCGAAGCCGCCGAAGCCGGATTGATACCCGAACCCGAGGATTCCACAGTTGCCGACGGGATTGTGGGGTCCGGCGCCGAAGCTGGTGTTTTTGAAGAATGTATGTACGGATATAAGATGTGACAACACCGCAGAGGTTACCGCAAGAGGTATCAAGATAGTCTTTGCTTAGCATTTCTTTTTCTTGAGAAGAGCATGCGGGAGTGAGATCTCTTCAGTTTATCTGAAGCACCTAGCCCGGATGTACCTTATGTAGCATTGTCACACTCACACCGAATTCATGGGATGAGATGTGCCTTGCATTGCTCCTCGATCCTCTACGATCCTTCAAGACCAATTGCCGGCACTCTCATGTCTGACGGAGAAAAAAAAAAGGAGTGGGTGAGTGAACGAGTGGGCAGAATCGGCAAGTTTGGGGAAAAGCCGTGAGAGGCCGGGCGGCATGCCGTGGCCCCGCAGCGAACCCCGGCGCCAGTGCCCACCGCTTGTTCTCCGGTCCAAGTGCAACCTTCCCGAAGAGGAATGCACCTGTGCAAGCTCGTCTTGGCCTTCACTTGGCTTTCATCGCGTCAATTTCTTTTCTTCCACACACACACACACACGCGCGCGCAGACAGTCACACATAATAGTACACTGACACTCGCCATTACCACTATTACAAACGCCAATGACCCCCGCTTCTCCATGTCGTCAATATCCAGACTTAATCACGCCGTCAACCCAGCTTTGGCAGGTCCATAATGATCCCCCCGGCTCTCCCCGTTCGAAAACTCCGTTCAATAGACCACTATGAGCAGAGCAGCCAGTCAACATGGCCGTCGAGACCAACAGTCGGCAAGAAATCTGGAGAAAGCAGCGGGCCCGACTCGTTGA